ACTTTTAAAAGACAACTGAAGGCGGTCCTGTTTGTGGAAGTTTTTAATGTCTGATGCTGTATTGTTTTTAATATTTGCTGGAAGTGTGGGTTGGGGAAAACCCAGCCAGATGGGCGGAGCAATAATAATAATAATAATAATAATAATAATAATAATAATAAAATGTAGCGGCAGGAGAAACGTGAGCACTCCGCATCGCTAGCAAAACTACCCATCTTTTGCTGCGTGTAGGTAGGGATTTTTTATCATGAGATAAGCACTGCACTCACCTGTGGGGTTCTTGGGAGTGATCCAACCTCAGGGGCGGACGGCAGACTTTGCTTCCTCTGAAGGTCACCCACACAATGGAGAAACAAGTCTGTTTCTAACTACATAGCACTGGTTCTGCTTTCTGCACAAGTACAACATGGCCTCTCTTGGGCTCACAGTAGATGCAGACCTAGCCACTGTCTTACTGGGTACCAACTCACACCTGTAGTTTGTTAGGATGCTGAGAGTTGCCAGATCCCCATTCCCTTCACTGACATACAGTTCCTAGAGCGATATAACGGTTCCCAGAGCTCTGGGAATTGTAGCTTTGTGAGGGGAATGAGGATCACTCCACGGCTCTCAGCACCCTTAAACTACAACTCAGAAGGTTCAGAAGAGAAGTATCTTACTTTGGCTCACCAATTAGCTGGTGGGGGGAAATGAACAATTTAAGGTGTTCATGTCACCATCATCATCACCATTAAATTCATATCCTCACAAAGGAGCCCAGGGTAGCAAACCCAAGGGATAAAACAATAAAAGCATCTCAAAAACAATTGCAGTAAAAAAGCAGACTGGGAGAGATATCTACTTCAAATATGGTTAACACATATTGTAGGAGTGAGCTGCTTTTAAGGGTATGAGCCAGCTAAAAGGTTTAGGGACCTGTGAAATCTCGCCAACTTTCTTCTTACAACGGCCAAGTTCTGCTGCCACCTAGCGGAGACAAGCTGGTAACACAACCAAGAATATTGCCAAACCAATGGCAGGGGTGGGCAAAAGGTAGATCGGGATCTACTGGGGGGGGCTGCAGTAGATCTGCACGAGTTTCTGACTCCCAGTTGTCTAACGATACAGTGGTGCCCCGCAAGACAAATGCCTCGCAAGACGGAAAACTCGCTACACGAAAGGGTTTTCTGTTTCTGAGTTGCTTCGCAAGACAATTTTCCCTATGGGCTTGCTTTGTAAGACGAAACGTCTTGCTAGTCTTGCGTTTCCCCCCCCCGCTCCCCCCCTTTTTCTAAGCCGCTAATAGCCTTTTAGCAGCTTAGCCGCTAATCCTTTAATAGCTGCTAAGCCGCTAATAGCGCTAATCCGCTAATAGGGTTGCTTCGCAAGACGAAAAAACCGCTAGACGAAGAGAATCGCGGAACGGATTCTTTTCGTCTTGCGAGGCACCACTGTACCTACCACCGAAAGCCACCACATCCTAAATTAGGCTTCAGAAACAAGGAACGCTGATGGGGGGGGATCAGGAGTGGAGCTGTTTCCAGGGCTGACCATGCACTCAGAGGCACCCTGTCCTTAATTCTGAGTATGATGCCCTCTCTTCAAAGCCACTTGTGATAGGGAAGAAGTAGGCAGACTTGCAACAGGGAGTAGGCAGGGTCAGTTAAAGGGCTGTTTATTGGAGGCAACCAGGGAACAATAAATATATACACTTGGGGGCAGTGGTGATGCTAAAATGATGGAGGGGTTGATTTGGCTGGATGTCCATCTTGCCTCATTTCTCTCTCACAACAGCAAAGTCATATTCACCTCATTTAGTCAAGGGTTTTCCTACCTCGCAGGGTTATTGTGGGGACATGTCAGTATAGGATAGGCTGCCCTTGAACTATGGCAAGCAGAGCTTCTGAAATACAGCGGTACCTCAGGTTACAGATGCTTCAGGTTACAGACTCTGCTAAGCTAACCCAGAAATAGTACCTCGGGTTAAGAACTTTGCTTCAGGATGAGAACAGAAATCGTGCGGCGGCAGCGGGAGGTCCCATTAGCTAAAGTGGTACCTCAGGTTAAGAACAGTTTCAGGTTAAGAACGGACCTCCAGAACAAATTAAGTTCTTAACCCGAGGTACCACTGTACTGTGAAAAACTGCATTCATATTAGAAAACAAGTTTTTCTGCGTGTCAAATAAACCACAGTGCACAAAAACGAGGTACAATGAAAGGACTTTTATTTGCACATTTCAATTACATTTGGATGTGTTTTAACTGCAGGACAGCTGAAATCTGGAATCCAATCTTTTCTCTCTCTTTTTACACTGGTCATTTCTGAGAAGTCATGCATTTTTACATTCATATCACATTTACAACCTCCAGAGAAATCTTCCAAGGCAAGAAGGAATTTTGAAGCAAAAATGCATACAAGATTACATGTAACAAAATGAGCTGCAAAATATTTTGGGTTGTTGATTCTGAGGAGAACATGAGGCGGCGGGAAGCAGCCCCCCCCCTTGAAGTCACTATCATGTCAGAGCTGTCTCTTGCATTTATCCTAATAAACACAGTCCATATCAGAGAAATACAAGTCTGAACGGCATCGCTTCTTGTGCTCAAGCTGTATACAGTATTTCACGAAGTTACAGGATAGGATCACACCACAGCAATCGTAATAAATGGCTCAAAAGGTAAACACTATTGCTACGTGAGAAATGTTATAGAGCTACTCCTACCACTGAATTCAGAGAGAATTAGGAGAGGCTGCAAAAAGGAAGAAGGGGAGGAAAAGGTTAATAACACTTCATTCTCCCAGGCCTGCCAACGGTACCACTCTCCTGTATGGGTAAGGAATGCACATAAGTGGAATGGTTAAATCATATATCCCCCAGTTTTCTGCAATGCACATTTTTCCTAAAAAAAAAGGAAACCTGTAAAGAAAAATATTAGTTGCACCTCGGAAGCAGCTAAAGCACCTGCAAACATTAAAATGATATTTTAATATCGGTAGTGGCGCCCACCCTGTGGAACGCCCTCCCATCAGATGTCAAGGAAATAAACAACTATCTGACTTTTAGAAGACATCTGAAGGCAGCCCTGTTTACGGAAGTTCTTAATGTTTGATGTTTTATCGTGTTTTTAATCTTCTGTTGGGAGCTGCCCAGAGTGGCTGGGGAAACCCAGCCAGATGGGTGGGGTATGTATGTATGTATGTATGTATGTATGTATAATAAATAAATAAATAAATAATATTATTATTCAAAGGGATGTGGAAACACCTCTGTTCCATCTAAAATATTGATACAAAGTGCCTTGTTAGTGAAATGGCCAAATGGATTCCAAAATAGTGGCTCAGCAATGGCTGGAGGGGCTTGAGAGCCTTGTGCTTGGGGTTCCTGAAGCCAAGTGGACTCTTGGGGTTCAAGGAGGTTCACTTGGAGGGGAAGGTCCAGAGATTGGGATCCTCCAGAGCAGAGAACCTGTGGGCCCTGCAGATGTTGCTGCACGACAGCTCCTGTCAACCCTGACCAGTGTCCATGTTTGCTGGGGCTGATGGGAGCTGGAGTCCAAGAACTGGGGGCCAACGGTTCCCCAGCGATGCCCTAAGCGGAGAGCAAACACCGCTGGCACTTCTCCAATTTGGTGAAAGACTCAGGGGTGGAGTTCTATTTGTTCTGTTATGTTGCAAGCTGGGTGTGGAATGCCTCCCCTGTTCTCCTTGCAAAAGGCAATGGGCAAGGCTACCATGTTGCCTTAGCCATGGCATTTGCTTCCATGCAAGATCCTCCCTGGCCTCACAGGGAAGGAATCAGAAGCAGGAATACCATTTGGGAGAGGAGAGCAACCAACAGGCATCACAAGACTTCAGCATGAGGCGTAGGAGATCCTTTGTCTTGAGCTGAATGATCTGGCTATATGATGGTCGTAGCAACTGGCAGGGGTCTTTGTGTGTGTCAGCAGAGTTATACTGACACCTTCCCAAATCATTCCACACCCTGCTCTCTCACAGGTGTTCCAAGAACTTAAAGAAGTTTCTTAGATCTGCAATGGTCCAGGAGAAGGAAAACTAATGTGTTCAACTTATTGGGTTGTACGGGCCTCCTAAATTAGAAGAAGAGGTGTGGAACTAGATGACAGCAAAGAGGGATGCAGTTATCTTCTTATATAGCTATATGGGAACATAGTACAGTGGAAAGTCATGCCCAAAAGGATGAGACCCCCTCTTTTATTTTTCTGTAGTTTAACATATTTTTATTAAAGATTTCTTGGTTTACAGAGGTATGTGCAATGTCTCTTTTTTTCAAGTTACATTTTCTACAGATCAGTTTCATTTGAGATGACACCCCCTTATGGGGTTTAGCTAACTGGGTGGCCTTGGGCACATGTCTAATATTTCTAAATGTTATATTTAAGGTGCTACAAGCCTCTTTGTTACTTTCTACAGCAGATTAACACTACTACCTCTGTGGAAATAGCCTCACAAAGGCCGCTTTATTGGTCGGGGTATTATTATTGAGGGTCAATGAGTTAAGAACTATAAAGCATTTTGTGAATTGGAATTGAAAAGTGCTACAGTATAAAAAGTTAACCCAGGCATGGACCAAAATCTAAACTATTATAGTATTTTTTTAAAAAAGCTTAGACAGCGTAAGATGCATTAGCCCAAAGGTTTGCTGTGAATGAAAAGTGTTTTAATGCATCAGTTGTATCTGTAAAAAGAAATATATTTATTTCCAGGTCAAAGCTTGGGGGGCGGGCAGGAATCAACTCCCCAATGTCCTATACCTGTGAAGAAAGTAATCCGGTTATTGAAAACAAAAGTTGTATTTAATTGTAGTTACACAGAAATCAGAGAAAGAAAAATTGCTACACCAGAGTTAAGATGCACAAATAATCAGATAAATCTGATACAATTTAAGAGTTAACAGATAAATACGATACAGTTTGAGAGTTAACAGTGATCCTCACCGAACGAACAGATAGCATTCCTACTTTAACTCATTAAAAAAAAAAATACCCTACTAGATGCTCCATTTAATTGGGTTTTATGGATTTAGCTTCCCAGTTTGTCAGCATGTGCTAATAACCTCTAACAATGACCTTCTGAAAAATCAGCACGTGTTCACAGGTTGCCTTCTTTTTATCGGCTCTACATCCAACCCAATGAGGAAGAGAGGCAATTCATTATTATTGTTATTTCTTTAGAAAGTTGACCTTCTACACAAAACTTTCATGTAATGTGAAAAGTGACACTTCTCCCAAAGCTGAGCATGGAATAAACCCGCTGAATATCCCCCACCCCAAGAGAAATTCTCCCCAGACAGAAGTATAAATACCAGAAGCTGGTATACATGAGATTCAATGTGAATCAGTGGTATGTAAATAAGCCCTCCAGGCTTATATAGGTAGCTAAACGAGCTCGTTTTAAAAAAAAGATTAAATAGGTTATCAAAAAAACCTTACGTAAAATCCTTAGGATTTAATACTACTGAAATAATCCTCTTATAGCATTGGGATTATAAATTCATCCTGATGTAAAAAGAGCAATGCTAACGCAACATTCCACAGGTAAGCCCTCAACAAGTCTAGAGGTACCCTATGGGTTAAAACCTAATTGTAACCCTCGGTTGTCTCTTAAGGAAATCTTCATTTTGTCCAAAATTGCTGCTGCAAAATAAAGCTAAGAAGACAGTAAGACAGGTTATGTAAGCAAGTGATCAAAGAAAGACACAAGAAAGGGTTGTCCATCAGTGAGGTATGAGAGGCCAGTAACTTAAAGACTTTGCGTAAGCGCTCATGTAATGGAAGGCCAATGGAACAGGGCAATACGGGCGTCTCCCCACTTATGCACGTCGGACTCATGCACGACTGGGTATATGCACAACACTGGGAAATAATAAACTAAACTGATTAAAACCGAAAAAAGGCACAAAAGCGGCCCCAAAAGATTGGGAAAACTTCAAAAATGGCGCACAAAGAGTGGAGAAAACAGCTAGCTATTCCAGGATCCTTTGCACTGATCTTTGAGGCCTATGGGGAGTTGGAATTTGAGAAAGGAGGGAGCGACTGTGGTAGAGTTTGATGGATCTTTGGCAGAGTTTTTGTTATGTGCTGTTGGTTTTCTAAAGGGTTTTTCCCCAAGGGTTTCCAGAGGTTTAGAGGATGTTTACAGACTTCATAGGTGATGTCCCCCGCCCCAACCACATACACAATTTCACATATACACGCAGTACCCAGGGACGTAACCCCTGTGTTAAGTGGGGAGACGCCTGTATAACATCCATGGGACTATGAGCCTATCCAGGAAAGGCGAGGGTTAAGGAAGAACATCTCATTCCCTTTCCACATGCTAGCAAAAAGATTCTTGGGCAAGTTACAAGGTTCTCCAGATGAAGAATATAATGGTGGGATTTGGAAAGGAAGCGTAGCAAAAAATTATTAAGCTAAAATATTTAGTACTGAGCTAGTATCTAAAGTGTACCCCATGGGTCTAAGTCAATCTGACGGCCATCTGATGCCAGCTAAAAATGTCAGGCTATATCTTTGGGAAACTGGCTGTCAAGGCTGATTAAGTTGCGGATAAAAGCCACAAGTAAAATGTGGTGAAACTATAAAGAGCAAGTTTTCAGTATCAATTTTTACCGGGGAAAGTATCACCACAAGGTGACATTAACTCTTCATTTCTTTAGCGTTGGCCACTTTGGGTACATGCTCCCATGGTAAGGACACATGGTACCATGAAAGATCAGCTAAAAACAATGTGCTCCCTCTTGATTTCCCCATGTGGGGCTCATGATAGGAACAAACAACCAATAAAAAATGAAGGGGAAATGTCATCTCATGCCAATATTTCTCCACATAAATGATCATATAGACTCACCCTAATTCTCTTCATTAGTGATTGAGACTTGCCATTTATTTTGTGGTATTATACCACCAACAGGGAAGGACTGGGACCCTGGGGCCTGCCAGATGTTGTTTGACTCCAACTCCCATTGGCCTCAGCCAGCATGGCTAATGGTGAGGGATGATGGGAGTTGTAGTCCAGCAACATACGGAGAAACAAAGATTCCTCATCCCTGACCAAGGGAATGGAAGTCAGAGGCCAGTTATTCCTCCTCCTCCTTTTTGGTCCGTGGGACATTAGAACTATTCAAAAAATCTATTGTGATGTGGGTTGTAGATTGCAGCAACATGTATTTTATATATTGTTCCCTAGCTAATTAAACTTTATGTTTAGCCTCTATAGTTCAAGGCCCGAGCATTAGGGGGGGAAACCGCTATTTATAAACTCACTTAAGTTGAGTATCTCTCCTTTATGCTCAACATTATAACAAAAACTCTTCTGATAGTTTGAAGGAGTGTTAAAACACAATACTGATACAGGGAGGATTGGTGCAAGTTCCCGTCTGCATCATGAGAATGAAGTAAACAACCTCCATTTCACAGTCTTGATAGAAACACTATTATCCAGCAGGTAAATATATTTCATAAATGAAGGTTACCAAACCTAAAAAGCTCCCTTGCCCAAATTAAAAACACACAAACCCCTGTAAAAACGACAGATTTCCCATTTAGCTTATTTACCGTATTGTTCATTGCTATAAAACCGTAATTTCTATTCCAGTATCACATGTAAGCTGGCTGCACCTTTTTGTTAGCAAGGACATGAACTGAGGTATACTAGGAAATGTTGCAAATTTAAGTGAAAAGAAAAAAACGAGGGGGGGGGAATATTCCACTGATAGTATTCACTGGCTAAATATCCATTCCAGGTTTCTGAAAGTTTATGGACAAATAATACACAGGTCAGGATATATGTATTGACTTACTAGCATCTTTATAAAAAAAAAAGTTGAAGAGTTACACCAAAAAAAACAACATTTATGGAACTACTTCCGCTCAACTTTGATAAGACAACAACACCCCCTTCCCCACCAAATAAGCTTTGATGTGGCTGAATTAGCAAGTGCAGAAAGAGCTTCATTTACATTTTGTTTAAAAGTCCCTTATTTACATAATACATTAAATGCAATTCTTGCATTTCACATCTTATTTCAAATGCATGATACAGAAAGAACAAGATAATGGTTGCAACAGATCTTCTACAAAAATTAAACTGGGGAAACATTGTACAAAGGACAGGGCCTCCTGTTCTTAACTGTGATTTTGCTTTTGCGGAGAGCACGTCAAAAAACGGAAAAGGAAAGGGGGGGAAAAGAAAGAAAAGCCGCCCTGTGATCCTGCCAACATATCCGGTTCCAAGTGAGCATTAATCAATCAAGATATATTATTACACTATCTTAATGATAATTCAGCCCAGAGGCTGGGTGCCTGCCACCCAGATCACAGGTTCTCCGCTGCTAGGGGAAAGAATTGTACGCTTCTCCCTCTTTCTATAACCAAACAGGAATGTTCCTGTGTGGAAATGCTGTGTGTGTGCACGCACACTGCATACACTATAGCCTGTAACAGATGAGGTCAGACAAACGTGTCTACACTTTACTCAGACCAAAGCACAAACCGCATTAAATGCCATACCACAGCCTATGGACAGAGAGGTTTGAAACCTGTAAACAGCTGAACAACAAAACCTCACAATTTCCTTAAGCACAAGTCCCGTTGACACCAGCAGATCTGAACTGGAAGATTAGGCACCATGAAATCCGCACATTTACAAAGCCAAACCAACGAAGTCTTGCTCGCTACGGAGCTCAGCTCATTAAAGTTGCCCACATCCCAGGCAGTTCAACCACCACCTTGACCAATCCATTGGTTTTTGTTTTGTTTTTTGCCAAGTCTATTATTTGTTACTGAGAAGCTGTAGCTGCACAGTGGGATGAAGATCCAAGCTTTGTGAATAATTTTTAAATCATCCCTAAACGGCAAGCTTAGCATCTGCACAAGGACTTGGGAGGTTGAGTACAGTCCGTTCAGTTATGAACAATGCTCGATGCCTGTAAACCTTTGAAGCGCTCTTGAGCAGAGGGAAACTAAGCCATCCATCATGAACTAAGACTAAGAAGCAAAAATGAAAGGCATAAGACAGCAAAGGAAAACAAAACTCACCCCCACAGCACGGATCTCTGGAGCACTTCAAAAGGAGCAGGAGGGTGCTTACTAGCTAGTCATTAAAAACACAATTAAAATGATCCAACTTTTACTACCACATCACACTAATAAAGCTACTCCTGCAAAATTTCCAGAGGGGAAAGAAAGCTATTTTGCCATTAAACGACATGACAATGTTTATAGCTTAACTGCTTCATCTTAATTCAGAATTCAGTTTTTAAAATCCTACCTGTATATAGAGTTTGGGTTTTTTAAAAAAACAAACCAGTTTATAATTTCACTTAAAATGCAAGCCTTAAATAGTATTTTTAAATGGTAATTCTTTCTCCTGCTCTAACGTTTTTATTCTAGCCAACACACACGCACGCACGCACGCACGCACGCACACAAAATGCTTGTAGTTGCTTTCTAATTACAGATTATTATCTGTAATTTTGCCATTCTGGCAGTTGCCTAATATATTAGCACTGAAAAATATTTCTAGAGGAAGCTCTCTCTCTCCCCAAAAGACATTGGGGTACAAAGGAGCTTTTGGTAACAAAAAGATCCCTTCCTTTGGAAGAAACAAGCAGGATACAATGAAAAAAGCTTTACTTCTTACACAAAACACAGTTTCCTTGAAGTCTGCACATAATTTTTAGACCATCCTGGCATCCCATGGAATAAAAAGTCTTTGTAAGTTCAACTTGTTCAATTCAACAGCCTCTGCCATTATGCAGTCTTTGCTGAAAATTATTATACCAAGACAATCTCAAGGAAAGAAGCTAATCAAAATAATGGTACCATTCATAACTGCCTGCCAGGAATGAATCTTGTTTCGTTGAATACTACTACTAGTGTTATATTGAATGTAAACATGTACAGGTTCCCACCCCCACCCTGACATCCTGCAATCGCCTTTGAAGGCAATCTAAGATATAATAAAAGAATGCTAATAGTCCTGCCTTTCAGATACTCTGGGAAGGAGAGACTTGTTAAGCCAGGAGAAGAAAAGGGGAAGGTTATTCCTACAAGGTGATGTTGGAAAGGGAAAAAGGTTGAGAGCATGCACAGTACTCCATATTGTTGGCTTCACCTCACTGGGGTTAAGAGCTTTCAAGAATGAACTCTTGGAAAAATACCAACAAATTACACAGCCCATGTTTTATTCTATCTACTTAGCTAAAAAAAAATATCCGGATAGGTATGGACACCATCTCATTCCAACACCCCACATGGAAGATAAGAGCAACCATTATCAAATATTCTTTGCTATGAAGAAGCATAAAAAATTTCAAAGTTAGTGTTCTTTGAATCTGAGTCACTGTGATCATATTTCTCAAAAAAACAACTGTGTACGCACATTTGTGCACAAGGACACGAGACCTATAGCTCCATGTGTCAACACGGTAAAAGAAAGCCAATACAAAACTCTCCGTTTCTGGATCCTTCTTAACTCTAGCTTCCACTGCAACAAAGCTGCTGCTGTCTGTAGTGTCACAGAGTAGTCTGAAGTTTCAGGGGGGCACTGCAAAGCTGGCATTGGAGATCGCGAAGAGATCCTGTCTTGCGACTTCCTTCAAAGGAAGCTACATGTAGAAGAACAGACCAGTTGCGTTCAGCAGGTCACTCCACTATCAGTGCCACGTTGATGTGGGACAAATCTATCATATGCCTAAGAAGAAGGTCAACAGACAATGGTCAAGGAACAGGTTTTCTACAAAGAGCACAATAGCTTATACCATTAAGTGAAGCTAAGGAACCTTACTTTCTGCACGTTTTTATCACAAGTCCAAGAAGTGTTTCAGACATCACCATGTCAGTCTAATAATCCGTGGTTTACTGAATGACATGCAAGCCAGGTCCTCCCTCCTTGCCCCCCATTTAGGCGCCTGACTTCAGGGCTTGTTAATCAAGTTTCCTCTGACATCCAAACAGGGAAACTGTGGTTTAAGTGCTGCTTGCACTATAGGTTTCCAGGCCATGACATCATGGGAAACTGGTTTAGCTGTGTGGAAGGCCCACAAAGAGGAGAAGAAACAGGGGATTAAATATTTGTTTGTGATCATAAATGTAACATTAGAACAGCCCTACTGTATCAGACTGGGACGCGGGTGGCGCTGTGGGTAAAAGCCTCAGCGCCTAGGGCTTGCCGATCGAAAGGTCGGCGGTTCGAATCCCCGCGGCGGGGTGCGCTCCCGTCGTTCGGTCCCAGCGCCTGCCAACCTAGCAGTTCGAAAGCACCCCCGGTGCAAGTAGATAAATAGGGACCGCTTACAAGCGGGAAGGTAAACGGCGTTTCCGTGTGCGGCTCTGGCTCGCCAGAGCAGCGATGTCACGCTGGCCACGTGACCCGGAAGTGTCTCCGGACAGCGCTGGCCCACGGCCTATAGAGTGAGATGGGCGCACAACCCTAGAGTCTGTCAAGACTGGCCCGTATGGGCAGGGGTACCTTTACCTTTACCTTACTGTATCAGACTAAAGGCCTACCTAATTCAGTATCCCGTCTCTCACAACAGACTATTGGAAGTTCCCAATGGCTTAAGTGAAACAATTCTCATCTCTTTAAGAAGACAAAAGGCTCTTGTATAGTGGTTTGAGTAGAATGCGTCTAGGATATTTTAGATATGGCAAAATTAGAGTTAATATTTACCTGTGAAACTTCTGTTGAAATTTCAACGCATCAGAGGGCTCTTTAAATTTTGCTATGGCCTTCCGCTGTTGAGGAAGCATCTGTAAACTCTATGGAAGACAAGAAGAAAACCACTTTATATTGCTTGCCTTTTAAAAAGAACATCAGAGCTTTGAGTTATTTCCCTTCTCTACAAGATGGAGTCAGGCTGCTGCAGAGAATCAGAACATCATGGCTGGAATCTCACCACTTGCTAGTTAATTGAGAAATCCCATCCCTTATTCCTTTGGCCTGCCCCCGGCAGTCCTAACATGCAGCAAAAATAGGCAATTGATAGAGGCCTTTGGCAGGAATGATCATATAAAGCAGGGATAGATATGTCAAAGGCACTGGTAGTCTCTAAAAATGTGATGCTGAAACTGAAGACCAGAGTCCCAAAAAAAGCATGTTTACACATACCCAGGTTTCTTGCACATACACGCTCAACAGCTTCTCATGCTAAGTTTAAAGGGTGTTCCTGAAGTTGTCCTGAATGTTGGTGACCTGTTGTGTTGCACGGGGTACTTGCAAAGAGGCAATTTAGAAGCCTTTGGATGCGGGTCTAAGGAATTGTACATTTTATGAGCTTTGCCCAGACTTGGATTCTCATCATTTGAAATACTTATGCAGTCTCTCTATAAAGCCACCCTCAATCAAGCTTCTGGGATGGAGAGGGGACAGCTGTTTCAGAGAGAATCAGGGTAGATTCACACTATCCCACCCCCAGCTTGCAGAGGCTGTTTAAATATATTATATAAAAAACAGTAAAATTAATGAATATAAAACAAACGAGGCCCAAAGGTATCATTTTATCTGCTGTTCTTGAAAAGAATAAACATACAGTTCTCCCCAAAGATGGACAGTTGGTGGTTTCCTTCAATGAACCTGAATTCAGTGGGTTTATTTAGGTGTTAGGAGAATAGCCCTGATTCTGTGGTACCAAATCAAAAAGTGGCTGGAAATTATTGTGGACATAATCCAAGTGCATCCCAATCTGTTAATGGCTGTATTTAGAGTAGGCTGGATCTAAATACTAACCCCTCTTCTTTCTAAAGAAACAGACTTAAGAAACCTCACATTTCCCCAAACTGGAGAAACACAGATACACCATAGTGGAGGTTCAATTTTGGTGGAACCCCTACACCAGAGCTTTCCGAATTGTGTGTCGCGACACTTTAATGTGTCAGTTGCAGTGTGTCGCAGAAACACTCCCCATGCTCCTCCTGGGGCTGGAAAGGAGTTAGTTTAACCTCCGGTTTGCTAGTAAAACTGAATTACCACGTGGCGAAATGATGCTGGTCTAAAAATGTGTTACCAACATGAAAAGTTTTGAAAGCTCTGCCCTATACTACAGAACAATTAGCTGTATAATTAATCCTCCACCACTCAAATCATTCTAGACACCAGTTCTCCATCTTTCTGTGGAAAACTTGAAAGACAGCTACTGAAGAATTCTGCTAGTTTTGAAATCTGAGCTATCCATCTTGTAAGAATAGTCCTGTTTTCAGAAAGCTACTTACTTTCTGAAAGTAAGTAGTTAGAAAGCTAATTATTACTATACAGTGCTACCTCGTGTTACAGACGGGATCCATTCCGGAGGCGTGAAAAGCCCGCAACTCACAGTGCGATTTGTCGCTTCTACACATGCGTGAAGCGCGATTAACGCTTCTGTACATGTGGTGAAACCCAGAAGTAACCCATTCCGGTACTTCTGGGTTGCCAAGGGGCCCAAGACGATAACACACAACCTGAAACGGATGCGACACGAGGTATGAATGTATTGTAAGTAGCAGACACAATATTGCTTGCGTTAGCAGCAAGTCCTATGTCTTTGGAGGATGCATAGTGCTACTGTTTCAACCTTTTCCTATGCTAATTTCAAGTTCTCAGAGGACACTGACAACCCATCAAAGTCAGGTAACCAATGGCTGCTTAGTTAACATGTTTAGAACCAGGCTAGTTGAACCCAAGACCAATTACTGCAAGTACTGTGGACATAAAACAGAGAGTGTACACCCAGGCTTTAATACACAATGGCCAAAGCTGGACTACAAACAAAAAAAAGGCAGAAATCTTTAACACCCATCTTGAATACCAGTCTGGACAGCAGCTATTTATTAACAGGACTACTCAGTTGATTACAAGTTGATTACAAGAAGCAAACTATGACTCATAAAGTAACAGCAAAAAACTTATATAAATATTTGCATTTAAAAATAACTACCCAATTTTTAAAAAGAAATTCAGGGCTTGCAGAACTTGAAAAATATTCTGTACAGAAACACATTTGTTCCTTCAAATGGTGTGATTAATCACTGAGCATAATTTCTCTTTGCTACTCAGAAATAATGAGGAACACTGGGCTAGCGAAATTCCATTTTCAATTAACTTTCTTTGAAGTGGGCTTACACCCATCAAAATTAAGTAAGCAATTATTTGTTAGGCCCCAAGACTAGTTGCAGACGTTCTACTCATACATGTAAAGGTAGATTTACAGGATTACTTTATGAAATAGCACACTGCAACTTGGTGTTTGAATGATCAGCTGGCCACTTGAATATTTGAAAACCACCACCACATTTCTAATATCGTGCGAAATAATCTTGAATGTCCATTTATTGCTAAATAATGATAGACAAACAGGGATGAAAACAATAGCTTTAGACATTCTAGTATTCAAACAACAATTCAGGAAAACAGTGCAGCATACAACCAGTTACACATATTAAGTGAAATAAAAACAATTGAATTTGCTTGTATTCTTTTGTACAGCGTCAAGAAAACTAGCTGAAGGCAATTGTTTTGGTAATATGTGAATTCTGAACTGCTATCTTTAAACAAGTTCTGGACAATGACTGTGTTCCGGTGTAACAATAAACCATAATATAACATGACATGCATTAACTGCTTCCCTCACCCCTCTTTCATCTGCAACGAATCAAGGTTTGTGCTATGTCCAAATTGGGAACTGTGATTAGTTTTAAATGCAGCTTTTCTGAACAAGCCAGGATTTTGAACCACAGTGTGGAAGTTGAATTGTTTCGTAAAACCATGGTTAAACAAACCACAGTTCTGTTCTGAACATAACAATAAACTGCAGGTACTGGAAAATGGAAGGCAGTGCTTCCAATCTCCTCACAGCCACCTTGCAGAAGGAAAAGGGATGGCATGAGAACCGTTCATGTGGCAACAAACCATAGTTTAGTGTTATGTCAAAACACATCCATTCTCTCAAAATATGCATTTCTGCTGAGTTCAGAGAGCAAGTGACAGTGTTATGGAGTGAAAAGAAACCGGTCAATTAGTTGTTCATTTTGCAACACCATTATCTGAAATGTCTGCTCCCAATGGGCAAAATTCCTACAGGATGAACTGATGTTCCAGAAGGTGAATGACATGTAAAGCTATTTCAGTTCACACTGCAATTATATCAACTTCTAAAGCTCCTCCCAAGTGGTTCTAACAGCTCTTCCTGATGCTGGCTACGGAGTGCTTGTTTTAACTCTTAACACGATACAGAAATGTTTATTTTCCCCATTGCAAGTAACCTGTAAATTGGTCCTGAGAGACAAGGTGGGTTTTTTGTTTTTTTACACAACCAGCACTCATTTCTACCTGAACACTTCTGGAATGAATACAAGTTTCTTTATGAACCCATTCATAAAGAAATGACCACACATTTTCATGGGAATCCAAAACATGGAAATCACTATCAAGAATGAGTGTGTGAAAAGAACATGTAATCTGTGACCTAAATATATATAATAAGAAAAATTTAAAAATTAAACACAAATACCAGCAGTATCCATTGGTCTTCATAGAAAAAAGAAAAATGTCTTTCATCTTATTAGGATTTTTTAAAGCTCTTAAGTAATAAATTTAACAAAGGCCAACTTTATATCTGAATAAGGCTTCTGAAGCTTGCCATGAAACCTCACAGGAAGTTTAATGAACACAAAACAAACCGAAACCTACTTTTTAAAAAAAAATCTTAAGACACCCACTTTAGCTTAGCAACTCTGGTAGAGGGGTTCTCTTAACATCCTTATAAAATGTATTGATGGTTGGTCCTTGTGTTCTTTTATGTAACAAAAAATAGTCCGCAGCTTGAACACTGCAACAAAACTTATTCTTATTTAAATGAACCCCTCCCAATCATGGCACTTTTATAGCAAGCACTGTTTAATCTTAAATTTTTACAACAGGAACCCGAGTAAACAAAGTTGTGGCGTTCGACATCATGACTTAAGCTGGGCAGGAAATCTCAGCAATAACTTGTGGAAAACAGATTGTGGGAGGCAAAATATGTTTCCTCAAGTCTGCACTCTTTCATCCCCCTACCCTTTTTTTCGGGTATGTCCCCCATTTTTAACAGCAGGAACACTATTCAGTCTGCCAGGTCATTTCCCCACTGCCAACATATAACTAGGTGAATGAAATTCTTTGTAAAGTCAATGCTCGCCACTGTGCACTGAGTTAAAAAACATGCTTACAAAAACAAAAGTCAAAGTATCTAGGATGGGATTTTGTCTCCCACAGAACAGTCACTTATAGTGGAGAATTCCTTCTTCTCCCTGAAGGGAATGGCATGCTTAAATGTCCATATAAGTCAACAGGAGGGACAAGTAACCATAGGAGGTCATTTCCCCATCAGCGACATGCAGCAATTCCTCCTGTGTCAACTGGTGCTCTCCCTCTCCTGAAACTTCTTCGGCCCTGCTGCTAATAACTGATTCTCACAACCAAGTTAGGTGTCTCTCTCTCAACTACCGCAGGACATCCTCCCAGTGCTTTAGCCTCCAGCCTCCTGTGACAGCCAATTGAGGGAGAAAAGAAGAAGCTGTATTTAGCTGTTGCGCCATTTTTCAAGTCAACATTCTATATAAAACTCTCTGTGCAGACAGAGCTGGTAATATGGACTAAACCAGGGGTGAAGAACCTCCGATTGGGGCAGGCCAAATGCGGTGGTCAAACCTATCTGGCCACTGGGGCTCTCCTCCAACGCGCTGCATTAATTCATAGTCAACCCAGGGCCACTTTGCGCAAAACCGCTTTGCACAAAACCACCCCG